TAGAGATGCCTGTTGCAATCAATGGACAGCATGAGGTTTAAATTCAGCAGATTGTTCAGGGTAGCTAGAGAGCTGCATAACATATTTAGTTCTGTTCTGCACAAAAGTGTTCGTAAGATTCAGTGGCTATATCTAACTGAGGAAACTTTGGGGTATTATTTGCACAGCTTCAAATGACTCATCCCTCACCAAGTGCCCAAACCACCTCCAGGAGCCAGGTGCAGATGCAGTGTAACGTTGGTAGGGGATAGCAGGTCAGCTGTGTCTCAGTCCCCTGCTACATCACCCACATCAGCCACAGTACTCCCAACAATGCTAGCGCTTGGGACCACAGTGCCTCAGCATGAAGTATACCCGCACATGTAGCCACCTGCAATGGGACCAGCACTACTGGACTCCCAGGTTTAAGCTGAGTCCTGACAATGCCACTAGGATTACACATGGACATAAGCAAGCAAACAGCCTCAAAGGAGAGCATTAGGGATGAGAATTTTAGTAGAGACTATCAAACACAGGAATACAGGCTTTCCAATCGCAAATAGGATTGCCTTAAAACTGTGGTCCTAATTACGTATTTAAGCACTCACATAAATGACCCTGTCTTCTGAAATTGCAGGTGCTGTCATCATAACTAAAGATGTACAGGCTTGGCTGGTTGTGTTTGGGGCAGGGGGTGTTGTTGGATTTTCCTCAATAAAGCACAGTGCTGAAATGCAACAACATTTTACAGAAATATTTTCGATCAGTTTTATATCAGTGTGTTATGGTTTTCTATGTTCTCCAGAAATACAACAGCTCTGCATGACTTTTATTTTTGGATCTTAACAGGAAGAGTTCTTTTATTCATCCAAGGAAGCCTTCATTCTGCCTATCCGAATCTTAATTCAAAAAAATACTCTGGCTGTCACTTACATTGGAGAAGCTTCTTATCCTGTCACAGTCTCTTCTTTGCACATGAAAAGAGAAATATTGCTTATTTGCTACAGCTGCCAAGAAGCACATTTTGAATTAAACAAGGCAATGTGACAGGCTGAGAGTAATCACATGCAGAAAGAAAGAAAAAACAAAAAGAAGAAAAAGAAAACATGCATACTGGAAAAATCAGTCGCACCTATTATCGTCGTGCTGGCCTGGCCATGCTGGTTTCCTAAAAAGAGATGAGTAAGCTGAAACATAACTTGAAATTCTGAAACGTTAAGGCGGAATAAACTACATAGTAGTCTGTCTTTTAAAAGTATTTAGGACTTCACCTGCAGAAGCCAATAGCACAGAAGCATGTCAAACAGAACTGCTTCCACAAAAGGAGCACTCAACCTGTAGAACTTGCTGTTGATAGATATTCATAGGTCAAAAGTTTAGCAGGTCTCAAAACCAAGTCAGTTACTGATAAAAAAACATGTCTGTATTAGATGGGGTATGTTTTAAATTAAGATTTGTTGGGAACTGTCATACCTCAGGTCTATATCAATGACTGAAGCAATGAGGAAAGGAATAATCATGTCCTACTGGCAGTGTTTTTTCCTTTTCTCGGAAGCTTCTGGAACGGGCTACTGTTTTGAGGCTCTAAACCAATAGGACAATTGTGTATTATTCCAGCTAGCTGTCACACCACTGCTAGAGAGCGGTGTGCACTTCTACAGTTAGGCTCTGCGACTGTGTCATCCTAAACCCTGGAGATCACAAACTTGGCTCACACTGCACTGGCTTGATGCCCTTAGTGTACAGCTCTGAGTACTACTCATTTTATGTCAGGTGACAGGAACTGCTTGTGTGTAGAGAACACGGATGACCAGCACAGACAAGGTCTGGAAGCATTGCATCCTGGGCTGGACCTTGTTGGGCAGGCTGCCCAGTAACATGTACCTCCAAGCACTAAGTTGCCTTCACTTGGAGAATCCTTGAAGATTCAGTAGCACAGTGATACCCTGATATTGCCTGTGAGGAGAAAATTTAGGGGTTCATGGGAGTACTCAGTCCTCATCAAGTGAAGCAGCCCTAACTAGCAAGAACTGGTACTTCAATGTTACTCCCTTTTTGTATCAATGATTGCCTCTCGCACCTTCGGCTTAACTATCCATTACTTTTGCAAATCCACAATGCCAGCCAGTAATTCCAGTGAGGGGTGGGCATTTACTCCCTTCCTGTTTATCTCCAATGTTTTCAGCTAGAATGCTAATGGGCTGGCTGAGTGACAAGCTGATGGTGATTCAAAAACAGGACACAACAACAGAGTACTAGATTTAAAAGGCAGTGCAGTGCCTGTCTCTAGCAGCAGGTGGCAATGCAAAACGCTTCATGGTTGCAGTCATGAAAGAAAAGCAGCAACATTCCAGAAAATACTGTTCAGAGCTCCTGAAGTGAAGTTATCCCAGGCTTCTGTTTCACAGATCTCGTCTGGCTGTTTACTGCACTCGCACTGACTTTCCTAAATGCCAGAATGCCCCCAAACCACTTACACTGCTTTCCATAAGAAATGATAGGATGCCAGGAAACAGAAAGTGACCTTGACAAATTATATGACACATGAGAAAACAATCAGGCATTAGTGATACCAATGTGGACCTGACAGGCCAGGCTCATCTGAATAAAATAACCAGAAAGCTCAAGATTCTGTTTGGAGATGACTCATTTCCCATCTGATCTTACCAGCGGGTGCAGAACCCACAAAAAATCAGTAATCTCAGTCAGGTATTCATTCACTCAGACCACTCCTTACTAGTTAATCCGTGTCCCAGCAGAGCTGCCTGTTGTGCACACATGAGAAGTCCTTCCACATCCTTTCTGTTTTACAGCACAGCAATTTAACCTCATTTTGCCTGAATTATTCCAGCATTGTCTTAATAAATGTCTGTAAAAGTGTGAACTAGGAGGTAGGCAGCAAACTAGTGTTTCAAGCATGTCCACACAAGAAAAGTAGCTTTTTTTTTATCTCTTATCTATGATATTAGAAAGAGAGCAACAGCGATGACAACTGCACTAGGGATTGCCCTGATTTTATTTAGTCCTGTGGTAAACCTAAGTTCTAAATTCCTAGCACAGAACTACTTCATGTCCTTGATACCACACAGCATTTGTATTCATACAGATGTATTAAATTTCTCTTACTGCATTCTGTTACAGTTCTAATTTAATTACGAAGAATGAACTGTTACAGTTCATGTACAAGTTCGTTGAGAAGAACTGTGTATGGCATTTTGAATGCAGCATTCCACTGATTAAAGGTAAAACATGTTGCTCAGGCAACAGCTAGAGACACAGTGGGACAAATATTCATGGCAGATGAGAGGCAATATTCATCAAATGAAATGTCATAAAAATGCGGGGAAAGAAAAATCAAAATCAGCTTTCAGATTTTAATCATAAAAAGGAGTCAAAATTCACCCAAAAAAATACTTCCATGATTTTTCTTTGACAGTCCTAGCTATTAAGACAAAGTCACAGTTTAACTAAATCAAGGCGTGATTCAACAACTATTACAGCTTGCTGATGTCAAATAAAGATTGAGGCCAACATGTTTTGTCTGCTTTTCGAGATCAACCAACTCTTTGAAATAAAACTGATGCAGGAAGGTTGTTCAGAAGTGCTACATTTTGCTAAGAACTTACTCTTTCATTTCCATTCTCTTCCACTCATCTTGCAGAACTGAAAGCGCTGGTACACACCTTTGGTCTAATTAGCAGACGTCCTGGTACTTTGATGTCGTACCTTTAAACCCACCCTTTTACCTGCATTAGCACAGATGATGCTCTAATACACTGGGAACAGATCTTTTAACAAAGCTATGAGCTAATCTGGAAAATTCCTACCTACCAGGACGCTTTGTGAGAACAGGCAAGCAAGCGAAAGGCAGAAACGCCCAAATAATCTGTGCTAGAGTCATGAGATTTGCAGAAAAGTAACTTCTGCTGCCCCAGGAAAAACTGTTTGGGGGATTTGTAGAGAGAAAAACCGGACTATACAATTGCTGCAAATGATACATCACATGAGCAAAGCCTGTTCAAGTTATATACTGAGTTTCAGGTGTCATTTCCAGCAATGCAGAGAAAATACGAGTCCCATTGCCACACAGGAAAGCATTCCCCTGCGTGAGGGGCACGCATATCTGCTAGCTCAGCACTGAGAAGATTCATCTCTGACACTGACTGCCCAGCAGATCTCTCGTGCAGGAATAATTTCTTGTTTGAGTGGCTCATTCATGGTCTTACGCTTCCTGAACATTGACCATAAGGCTTCAGTATTATATATGCCAATTGTTTCTAAAATGGGTATTTTCCAGAATCTAACCGATAAGCAATGAAGTTACTCTTTTAAGAGAACTGCTGAATCTCAAAAAAACCCAATGCACTGCTTATGGTAGAGCTATACATACCTGATCTGTATCATTCACATACCAGTTCTGCTTGTCTTAGTCAACTTATAAACCAGGTTGCATTATTTTTCAAGGTTTATAGCAATTCACTATTTTATGTATATAAAATTTGATGAATGAAATGGAGGAACCTGTGTGACTTCTGAAGTTATGAATTTGAAACTTCTGAAATCCATTGTCACTTCTCTAGAATTTTTTTACAAACATAAAGGAAAGGTTGCCTGTATCCACTCACTGTGCATATCAGTAAGACAGCTTTGTTTCTGCAGAGTGTGGTTTTGTTACTCTATGTGATATCTGAATTTATAAACTTCTCTCTGCCATCCTGGGGGTGTCTTTGCCATAGAGTTCTTTTTCAATGTCAAGTGGAATTCCTTACTTCTTTTAAAATAGATAAGCAGCAAGTTAACATGCATGTATTACCTGCCCCCATCCCAATCTTGTTCCAGTACAGAGCACAAGCGAACAGCACAATGCTTATTAGTGCAGCAATAAAATGGGCAGGGCAGATTCTAGAATATTCTTGGAAGTCTAAGGAATTTGCGTGCTTACCTACATCTGTGTATCTCTAGAGATCCTGCAGCTCACAAGGAGTTTCATGAGATCTTCCCTGCTCTGCTACTTGACATACCTGAGCTGTTGCTTCCAGCCAACATGGTTGGGCTGACAGACGATCTGCCCAACCTGCTGGACACCACAGGCGGGCCTGGCGTTCCATCCCATTCCTGAGCTTTCCCTGGCTCCCTAGAGGAAGCTGTCCCGTGATGGCCTCCCCTCTCTTTGTTTTCCAGCTTTGGTAGTGGTTCAGTGCTGTGACTTCTGATCTTCAGCTCATCCAGCGGTTCTACAAAATACACAAGTGCACATTTCGTTATAGGGTGTCTGTTTATTACTCACATGATGTAACAATCTTTTGCTCAATATTCCATATATACTAATCATAAATCTTTTAAGGGCAATTTTAGCACGATTTCACTGTCTAGGTGTAAACCCTGTAGTTTATGTAGGTTTTAAGATACTTTTTAGTTATCAAAAACATAAAGCAGAAAATGGATAAAATGTCATTTTTCTGTTACAATTTCTATATGCCAGAAAAATATTTTTGAAAATGGTATCCTACCAAATTATGCTTTTATTAACAGTTTATGGAAACACCTGAATTCTTTTCAGCTGTCATTTTACTGTGAACAAGTTCTTCTTCGGGCACTTTTTAAGGAAGCTCTGTCCTAAGGCAGTATTGTGCAAGCAACATATCTATACCCCTCATAAGGTCTAACAAAAAGCACACAATCCACAGCACTGTCCAGTGTTAATATTTTGGGTGTGCCCAGCACCATAACCTGTGGAATAAAATTTCACTTGGTTGGAAAATCCTTGGAATCAGAAAACGACTTTCGCTTGCAACACCATGAGTCAATATAAGGAGCAATTCAAAACACAATTGAATGATTTTTCAAGTGAAGTAGTGATGTCTGCTTTCTTCATGGCTGGTGATCTTCTGTTCTTTTCTCAAGACCCTCATTTCTTTTCTTGCAGGTTGAGCAATGCATGGAGAAACAATTCATTCCTCATCTTTTCCTTCTGTAGCTGTTAAAAATTCACATGAAAAACTAGATACAGAAGAAACATTAGATTGCTTTCAGTTGTAACAGCTAGTTACTGTGCTAGTCAGATATTCGAAGCTTGTTAAACTGTTTGCCTCCTTTTAGCAAAAAAAGCCCCAAAAGTCCCTCTGAGTTTGGAATTTTAGGCCTCCTATTTAAGCCCAAAGAAATCCTTAGGTTTATAAATCAAACCCCTGATGTACCTTAATTTCTGTATGTCTCTACAGTCTTGGAATTCACATTTGATAGAGATGGGCAATCTTCCCTTGGGACCTATCTTTCTGTGGCTACAGGCGCCATTACAAGATGTAGGAGAGCCAAGCAAAGGAAAATCACCAGAAGCCATTCCCAGGGAACTTACATAGGAACAGCAGTGGCCTGGCTCTGCAGGACTGCCAGAGATGCAACACAAAATTCACCCCAGCAGCCACTTCCTCTCCCAGTTATTCCTATGGCCAGGAACTGGGACTATCGGTTACTCCTCAGATGATACAATTCCAGAAAAAGAATCACATTCAAACCACTTTAATTTGTCTGTGGCTTAAAACCCCCCACATTGTTTACCCTTGATACAGCAAACAGAGGAAGACACCAAATTAGATATCTATATGGTATGGTAGAGACCCCACCTATGCACAACTGTAACAAAATCTCATGTTGTTTTGAGTTCTTCATTCCAGTCTGCAGATGAACTTGATAAGCATAAGCAGCTTGAAGTTTCCTTTATGAAACGTCATACAGGAAACATGTAAAAATATCCAACTGGATATGCAGTGCCATATGTAACCACTAGTGTATTTCATGAACTGCCATCAATCAATAGTGAAAATTAACATTGAGGATATCATACCTGTCAGGATTTACTTACTTTTTTTAATAGACACAGTAGTAATACTCCGCAGAAAACAGTAAAACAACTCCAGTTTAGCAAGTCTCATAAACAGCATTCAGTGATATTTTATATGACAAAAGCCTTCAAAAATCAAACCTCTTCCTTCAACTTTTAGGTCACTTACCTACTGTAATGTACACAAAAAGACACTGCAATGAAAATCCAAACCGTCTTTCCTAGTTGGTAACCTCAGCAGGGTACGAGGTTGAGTAACAGTCTGTACCCATATAACACAACATCTACCTTTTAGGGACCTTTGCTACAAAAACACAGGTCTCTCTGTGACTGCACAGAGAGAGCTGCTAATACAAAGGGCTGTGCACAGAGATGTAGAGCCTAAATTATAAACACATTTGAACCGTTTTCATTATCAACTAAAAAATCTCTTATACTTTTTCTTAGCACTGATCTATCAAAGATCATGATGTACTTTTTCCCATAACAGATACAAACAACCATATCTGATTTTTTTCTTTACACCAGTAACATTCACTTCTTTAAGGGAAAGATTTATATCTTTCCCTTTATCTGGGAAAGGGAAAGATATGAACAAAGTTTTAAAATTCCTTGGAAATGCACACAATCCTCTTTCCCACCAGTACAGGATGCTGTCTAGATTGCAGCTTTTCCTCTCCAGCAAAACAAGAGAAAACCAGAAGAATAGAACACACTTTAGAACAGTCAGAATCGGAGCCTGTAAGTGCCCCACCAACTTAATGCATCAATCAGTAGATTTAACTAACTATGTCATTCAGCTGCTACTGGAAATTCTGTGATTACCTCAGTGAAAACCTTCTCTGCGTGTGCCTCATTGACACTACTTGAACACCACCCCTTGAAATTTCACACACTCATGCAGTCAGCCCTTAGCTGCAGTGGAAACACTCTGCTTGAGTATGGAGTTAAAAAAGATTTATCCACTTCAGTTTACTTAACAGAGAAGCATTTGTACTTGTTGCCTGATACAAATGATTTGTGCATTCTTAGTTCTATTATCGGCTGAATCAAAGTACAGCAGTTCACTGCAACCAGCTGGAAACTATGGAAATAATCAGACTAAATAAAGATTTGGCTTATAGTCTACTCCTTTATAAGGTGTAGAAAATCAGTTTTCATCTGGCTGTCTAGACTTCGTAAATTTACATTCCACTATCCTTTCTTGGAGATTTTCAGTTCTCAGTTTATCTGAAAAGTAATATATCTTAAAAATGAAAAGCAGATTGGATCAGATTACAATGTCATGCAACCCATCCCAGAGCCTGAATCATTATTATTTGGTGATCACTATCAGCAACACTGATACACAGTCAGAAAAACAACATGTCAGTGTTCTGGATAATTTTCTGTGATATTACTTTCTGGCTGACTTGTGAATACATAAAAAAAGAAGAAAAAAAAAACCAAAACCTCACTTTGGGTCAAATATTTTGGGGAGGATTTTAGAATAATTTCAGTTTCCTTAAGAAATGACAATGGGAATCATACTTGAATTCAATTTAAAAATAAATAAATAAATAAATCACTGTGCTAGTTCTTGCTTGACTGGAAGAGTAGCTCAGTTCTAATGTACCCATGACAGCTCCAGAAATTCAGAATGCTCCTCTCCCAGGTCACAGCACATCACTGGGACCTTTTGCTGATCGTCCCAGTCACTTGCATATTTTCATACTGTCAACTACTCCCCGCAGCAAATGCAGCTCCACGGAACAAGCTTAGTGGCACCAATTATTTTGTCTCATCAAAGCACGATCATTGCTCCAGATTTTTGCTCCTGCGGTCGGGCACAAGGCATTGGCAGAAAACAGAACATGCGTGTAGCTGCCAGCTATGGTTACCTATGGGGTGGTGACCTTCTCATTGACTGAAAATCAAACCACTATATTTTAAACAGGGTAATCTTTTCTAAAAGCTACAGAAGGATTTAAGTGGCCACTTTACCCACATTGATCCCATACTGATACATGAAGTCTAACCAGTCATATATTTATTCTGCTAAAAGGTAGCAGTAGCTCCTGCACAGCTTTTTTTATTTATTTTTTATTTGAGAAGTGTGGAAACACAGATGGCATCTAAGCTACCTCATGCTGTTAAAAACCTTAATTTGGAGTTAGGAGATACTGAAGCTCAGTGTTACGCTGGGAGCTCCCTCAATCATATGATGGCCACAGGCAAATCTTTTCACAGTCAAGTGCTGTATTTTGAAAGCTGAAATTATTATGGAAAGCATCTTTATTGTTCAATAATTCGTAAGCCAAAACAGTACATAAAAATGTAAATTTCAAGAAATAATTCAATGCTTTAAATATTTATGGATACAGTTGATTGAACTGCCATAAAAGCGTTCAAATGTTTCAAGCACTTCCAGGTGTCATTGTATTTCAATATTCAAAGATATGCATTTTTCTTATTTATTTCACCTGACTCTCAGGTTTTCCATTTCAAGAATAAGGTGGTGGCTAAATTCTCTTAGACTGAACATATTTTACAAATAATTGACATGTACAATTTCCCCTCTGTGGAAGATTCCCCTAATAGCTGCACACTGGCAAGGCTGGCACCTGAGCTGTGTTAGGGGAAAAATTGTAAATACTAAAGAAAGTGGGAAACAGACTGAGTCAGTCAGCTATAACTTGGACCAAAGCAGACTGAAAAACACAGCTTTGGAAAACATCTTAACTAAAAAGCTATGGTCTGCCGCTCTGCTCTTAAGCACAAATGATTTTCAGGTCCTGGTGGCTTCTTAGTGTAATGCTAAAGTGATAAACAGCAGAACCTTTGTTACAGCTTGGGTTTTTTGAGGGCAGAAAGGAAAGCAATTGAGTTAAGGAACCAAAAATGAGGGTCACTCTCTGCCATCTCTCTCAGCTGTGAGCTGAAATGTATAAGCTAATCATCCATGCATTATTCATTTACTCTTTTTTCTGTGTGTTTGTAATAAACCTAAATAAATAATACATCACTCTAGGCAGAACTTGCATACTGTGCAAATTAAATGGTACTACTCACAGGGTCTAAAATTCAGCATATGCATACAGGTGTAAAGCAAAATAAGTCACTTGGGATGGGGTTTAGATGGGAATCAGGACTCCCTATCTCCTGCAGTCCTGACACGTCAGACCTCACCTTGTACGGCTGCAAGGCAGGTATGGACCTGGTTGAGGAAGCAGGAGGATAGGGCATCCCCAATGGCACACCTGGCCATGAGGAGGGGTGGAGACATGGGATTAGACTGCAGCCAGCGAGTGTGTGAGAAGATCAGAGCTACCAGAGACAGGCTTCAGCTCCTACCCTCTTACATGGGGCAGAGCTGCTGGGCTGGCAGCAGCCCTGCTCAGTGAGCTGGGTCCA